GGAAGACTGTGAAAAGTCACCAGCCTCACTTTCTCCTCCAGAGTCATCTGGGTCCAGTGGCCAAATACACAGCAGGGTGAGTGGAGATGGCCCCAAGTGCTAAGATTTAAAAAAAGCCCGTGTGAATACATTTTTTTTTCTCAGAGAGCCTGAATATTAAACATTTATTAGCACACCCCTATATTGCTCTATAAACCTTGCGTGAGCTCAGAAGCAGAGCAGTAGGAGGCTCAGGGAATTAAGCCATCACCAGAGTAGAGGCCTGGTAACTAAGCTAAGAACAATGATGATGATGAAGATGACAATGAGGATGACAGTAATAATAACTGGCATTTATGTAGCTCTTTAAAGTTTGCAAAGTATGTTACATCTATTATCTCATTTGAGCCTCACAATACCCCTGAAAATACTATAAAATTGCTGCTCCAATTCTAAAAGAAAAAGGAAAGAGAATGAAATCAGCAAGCTGTAGGACAGCAGGCTGTCATAGTATTAAAGAACTGGTTAGTGAATATCTAGAAAATAAATCATGCCAGACTGACCTTAATCTCTTTTTGACTGTGTTACTCAAGTAGCGGAACAAGAGAAAGGTGCAGAGTTTACCTAGATTTTATCAAGTATTTGAGAGATCTCATGCTTTTCTTGTAGAGAAGTTGGAGAGAAGAGGACCAGAAAATAGTACAACCAGAATATATTCAGAAATAGTTGAATACCAAAAACTGTTCGATGATTTGATGCAAGCTTGGAAGCAGATGTCCATGGAATCTCAGATTCTGCATTTTGTCATGTGCTATTGAACATTTTTATCAATGACTTAGATAAAGGCATGGATAGCACTCTATTGTTTACCAGATAGATGTTACAAACTGGGAGGAATAAACAGCATATTGGATGACAAAGGCAGAATTTCAAAGATTTTTGAGGAGAGAGAACACTGGGCTAGATGTAGTAAGATAAATTTTAATAGGAATAAGTATGAAGTGTTACACATGGCTTTTTAAAGAATACATAGTCAGAAGATTGAAAAAAATCTGGATATTTTGATGGAGTGCAAAGTTCAGTATGAGTCAACAGTAAGATTCGAAGCCAAAAATGCTAAGCATAGTTTTTAAAGATATGGAGGTGATAGTCCCATTGTACTCTGCCCTGATCAAACAACATTTGGAGAATGCTGTTGTCTTTTGGGTACTTCATCTGGGGAAAGACATGAATAAGGTGGAGAATATCCAGTAGAGTGTTGTCAGAAAGGAGAAGAGTCTCAATCCCATGACACATGAGAACTGGCTAAAAGGTGGGGAGAAAAGAAGACCACAGGGCAAATTGACAGTAGGGGCAGTATAGATGTCTTCCAATAATTGAAGGGTTGTCATGAGAAAAAGAGATTAGATTTGTTCTACTTTACCCCAGAGAACAGAACTCCATGGAAGTTGCAAAAAAGCAAATTTAAACTTGACATAAGACAAAACTTCCTAACAATTAGAGCTATCCAAAAGTGGAATGGCCTGCATCAGGAGGTAATGGGTTTCCCCTTTCTAGGGGTGTTCAAGCAAAGGCTAGATGACCACTTTTAAGTTGTGATGTAGTGGGGGTTCTTTTTTGGGTATCAGATAGACTTAATAAGATTGAGGTCCTTTCTAACCCTGAAATTCTGTGATTCCAATTCAAAAGTATCAAGGAAACATTTCTCTGTGCTATGACGTTTGGAGGGTTGGCTTCCCAGACTACTATGGGCCATATATCACTCATTCTTGCCTTCACACATTACTCATACTGTTCTTCTTCCTTCAATGTCCTCTCCCATCTTTTCTGCCTATCACAAACCTACCATCCTGCAAGGCCAAGTTCAAGTCCCACTTGGAAGATTTCCTTGACTACATAAGCCTGACTGATCCCCCTGTTCCCATACCACAAATTGTCTTTACCGGCCATGTTGGTATTGAAAGTTTTATGTTGTCCATGTGTTTAAATCTTGTCTTCCAGATAAGACCATAATTTCCTTGGCCACAGAAGACCATTTTAAACTTATATATCCTTAGACAGCATTTACAATAATCTTGGACACATAGTAAGGGCTTATGGTTGAATTGAATTGAACTGGCTATCTCACATGACACAAGACATAATGTTGGGGCTTTTTCTTTCTAATGGCATTTAATCAAGTTTCTGTCATCGGTCCTACAAGATGCAACACTTGGGTAATCTACAAAGTGGAATTGAAGTCTTGGCCTTTGTTTCAATAGGTGGTATTCTCTAAGCATTACACTGTGCTGTTGCCAAGGCAACAGAGTTCAAACAGACACAGGAATTGAAAAACCCAATGTTTTAGTCAAGGCCTGTCAAGGCCTCCTGATATATGATAATGCACAGTCTTGGAAAGCGGATGCAAAGATCAGGACTAGAGTTAACTAGGAATTCTAGGCTTTCCTGTTCCTCCCTTCTGGTGCCTTCCCTCTGAAATTACCATCCATCTTTTCAATATGTATCTTGCATACGCATAGTTGTTTGCATATTGTCTATCCCATTAGAATGTGAAATCCTCCAGAGCAGGGATGGTGCATATGTCTTTCTTTTGTAACTTTGTAGCCTGACTTGTAAATAAGTTTTTAATAAATGCTTACAGACTGACTGTTCATTGTGGTGCAGGACTCCTTTAGACTAAAGGTGGGCAGCAAAGCTGCTGACACCTCAGTGTTCTTCATGCTCAGCTTCTTTCAAGACAAATTTTAGGGTTTGGGGGCAGGGAGAGAGAGGAACAGAAGAGTAGGAAGTTGTTTTAATAACCAAGTAACATTTTCTGCTTAGAAATAATTTCTGCCACCCCCATTCCTCTCATTAGATATTCTCTGGATAACAATTTCCTCTTTTAAAGTGCAAATATGCTGATAGGGTTAAACTTACTAGTCATTCACACTAGAAAGCTGATTGCTTTAATAAGAATTTAATAACAGGTGATAGCCACACAGAGGAAATGAGAATTTTGATTGGGAATTGAATGGGGGAAAGGAAGAAAGGGCTAATTTTGAAATATGAGACAGTTTCAAAGGAAGGATGGGGGGCGAATGGCAGGGAGAGAAGGCAGACTTCGGGCATTTGGGGAGCCACCTAAAGATACTGAGTATTTAAGGGGTTGAGAGAGAAGGGTACCAAAACTTAGAACAGGAGGGAGAGAGACAGAATGCTAAAAACAAACTTCTAATGGTTTGCCCTTTTTTTAGGGCCTTGATAGTATCCAAGGGCATCACTAAAAATCATCTTATCTACCGAGGCACGCTTTAGAGACCAGAAAAATTGTGGCAGTGCCTTAACACCTAGAAAAGCAGTGATAACACTAGAAAAAGTTATCTAATAAAATATACATAGCAGCATGGACAAAATATTCTCTGTTACTTGTAGAACATAGATAAGCAGAAAACATAACTAAATTAAAATTAAACTTGAGTAAGGCCAGAAAGGCAGAACTCAGAAAGGAAAGAGTCCTGGACTTGGAGCCCAGAGACTTGGTGTCAAATCCTGCTTCTGAGACATACTGATTTCCTGATATGCAGTGACTCCGTTTTCTCATCTGTGAAATGGGCATAATAATATTTGCACCATACTCCTCAGAAAATTGTTGTAGAAACGATCCTTTGAAAACCACAAAGAACTATGTATTATATTAAAACTTTTATTAACTTTTTCATATTCAAAGGTTTAAAAAACTGCTTCAAAAGCACAGAAACTATAGATTTTTAAAAAGGAACACAGATATTTTTAATTACATGTAAATAAACAATTAAATCACAACTATATTTTTCAAAAGTTATATTTGTGCTACAAGTCAATGAAAACAACTTAAAAATTCAATATGGAAAGATGTGTGTCCTCTTAATAGCACCACTGAGGATTTCTGATGCATCATTTTATGACTAAAGGTATTCATACATGGAAGGGAAATTTCATGCAAATCAAATTACTTCAGAATACAAGGCTATACACAAGGTAAAAAAAAGTGGAAAAGCTGGTGAAAAGAAGCTCAATATGCAAGGTATTTATTCAATAATTCAATTCAATTCAACAGGCAGAGATGGTAACAGAATATGTTAAGCCCAATCAATGTTCTAAGAAGCCCTGGACTAGATGCTGTGGACACAAAGGAAAAAGAAACATAGTTCCTGCTCTCAAAGAGCTTACAGTCTAAAGAGGGAGGAGTATATGACACATATCCAAATAAGTAGGATAAAAAGAGTAAGAGATAAAATACTGTAGGGAATTTTGAAGGGAGAGAAAATACTTCAGCTATAAGGGATGGGATGATGGAAGAAGCAGGCATCTGAACCTTGTCTTGCTGGAAGAAAAGGATTTCAACAGTCAGAGATGAGGGAATATGTTCCAGGAATAGGGGAAGGCAGAAGAGAGACAGAATACCTAGTAGTCCAGGCTGGCTTGAATAGAGAGTACATGAAAGGCTCTGAGCTATGTGAAATAAGACTAATAGTAAGTTAGAATTTATACGCTGTAACTTGTTATATAAAGCACTCTCCCCCAAATTAAGACATCCAGTCATAAAATACAACTATAAAATGCCTAAAGGTCTCACTTTTTTAAAAAGGACTTAAAAGTTAGGAGGGAAAAACACAGCAGTTTAAAAGACAGGACAATTCAAATAAAATTAATTTGTAGAAATAGTTTGTAGTCCAAAGGGTAACTGTTAATCATTCTCTTTGATTTCAATCCCTTAGCACCTTTAAAAAAATAGGGAGAAGCTGTAATATGCTGTCCATCTGAGAGCTGAAAGCCCCATGTAGGTAATGTCTTGTTCATCCTCCCATGTGGCCCTCTGAAAGAGCTGAGCAGAGACTATTATTTTACAAACAGAAAAACAAAAATTCAGATCCATCCAAGCACAGAAGTCGACAAGAGTTGGGGACAGAGCCAGGAAGAGTGATCTGGACTTAGAAATAACTACAAATTTACAAACATTTTCACTAATTTATAAGAAAGGGAAGATTCTTTGGGTTGGCTGTGGGGATTTGGATTAGTTTGAGGAGGCTATGGATGTATTTTAAATATCCAAGGTTTTCATCAGAAATTTCAATATCTGTAAATTCCTATTCACAGAAGAAGTCAATATCCTGAAAAAGAAATAGTAAAACTTTAACTCAGTTAAAAAATAAAATAAAAAATAAGCTCTTTATAAGTTTGTTAGACCAAAAGGAATCATGTCAGGATTGGAACCCTGGTCCCCGATTCCAAATCTAAAGCATCACAGATCCCTCTCCCATTCAATAATAAAAGTTTTCAAACAAATTTTAGCCTCTCTAATAAGTATTAGGTGATACAGTGGGCCAGGAGTCAAGAAGACCTGAGTTCAAATCTAACCTCACACACTCCCTAGCTATGTGACCTTAGGCAAGGCACTTAACCTCTGTTTGCCTCAGATTTCCTCGCTGTAAAAAGAACACCTATCTCCCAGGGTTGTTGTGAGGATCTAATGAAATAATATTCGTACAGCAGTTAGCATACTTCTTGCACACAGTAAGCACGTAATAAATGCCTGTTTCCTTCCTTCTTATCTATTTCACAGATCTAAGACACCAAAAGTAAACAACAGGTGAGAGGCAATCTTGGAATTATTAGAAAATGGTCTTGAGTTGCTCTGCCCAGCAAGCAGTAGGCTCCCTCCTGGGAAGCCCATTTCCAGCCTCTGCCAGCAGAATGACTTTCCCCTGTCCAAACAACAACCTTGCTGAGTTAATGAAAAGGATTTTTTATTCCTGCCACTGGGTTATTGGGCTCTGGGACCCTGGAAGGGATACAGCTGTAATTTCATATATAAAGCAGAGTCTGTCTAACTCAAAATAAGGCATTCACAGATGGTTTCAAAATACTTTAATTTTCTCAAATACAGTATGTGGGTTAATCACTTCTTTTTCCTTCACCATCCACATAAATAAACAAATCCTACTACTGGACCTGTTTCAGAACACATGGTTTATGTAATGCTATTTGTGGCTTTTTCATGGAATCAGCAAGCTATCCTTTTTTATCTAGACTTGTGATTTTATTAGTGTAGGGAATTCTAGGTATGGAAACTCTCCACAGAAGTAGATTGGCAACCCATCTACATCTTCATAACACCTCGGAGTTCATTTAGTACAACTCCCTCATTTTACAGATAAGGAAACTGAGACCTTGAGAAATGCCACGAATTGCCCTGGGAGACAGAATTAAGAAGTGGCGGAGCTAGGAATTGGCTTCAATCTGACTCAAAATCTTCCTGACTCCAGGTCCAGCACCCTAAACACTATACCAAGCTCTCTTTTACATTAATGAAATCACAGGTCCGGACCAATACATGTATGTACATATGTACATGTGTATACAGGCGTACACAAATACATGTTGTATGTATAGGCCTGTGTGTATCTTTGAACACGTACATATGTATATATGGTAAAGTATATACATTTTTGACCAAACAATATTAATTAAGAAGAGATAATAAAATGATCTAAGGCTACCTGTGCCATTACTGTGACCATATTTTCATAGGATTACAAGTATTTTTGAAAGTTGCTTACCGTTGTAGGAATTTCTTTGGTTGCCTCTTGGTAGACATGTTGCTCTTTGACCAAATTGCTGGGAAAATATCCTACAATTCCCATTTCTTCCTCATAATGCTCACCATATACCTGAATATTGAGGACAGTAACTATTAGACACACTGGTTCTATTTGTATCTACATTTCAATCAATTCATTCCCTTATGGGCAGATGCAGTGTGAGCAAAGCTGAGGAGGGCAACTGGAGTTTATCTAGAGCCCTAAGGCTAATGATAGATTTCCCCAAAGTAGCATGCATGAATTGTAGCAGCATGTAGCCCTCTGTCTATAAAAGTCACACAATTAGAATGATTAACAAGATCTATTGGCTAAAACTACAGGACTTTTCCCTTTAACATTAATTAACTTGACTTCTTTCCATTTAAAAGGCTCTTAGATCCTAGATGCTTCAAAGTAAATCAATATTTTGGAATCTGTTGTTAAAGTAGACTACAGCAATAGTATTTGGCTTGACAGAAAAGGACAATTGTCTCCAAAGGCTTGGTTCAAAACATTCGTTTTCACTTTTGTCTGGATACAGCCTCTTTGGAGAATCTGTTCACAAAGATTTTCTACTGTTTTGAAAAAAATTTTCAACTAGTAGTAGATGGTATACTGTAGCGGGCAGCAAGCCCATCACATCAAAGATGGTTAACCTGGAGAGGAGTATCCTTTGGGGGAACATGAGAGCTATCTTCAGATGTTTGCAGGACCATCCTCTGCAAGAAGGATTGGTCTTATGTTCTGCTCAAGAGCAAAACTAGAAGCAGTGGGTTCAGGGAGACAATTCAGGATTTTAGGGGAAAACTTTCTGACTATTAGAGTTACCCCAAAGTAAAATGGGCTGTCCTAGAAGATAGTCCCCCTCGCTGGAGGTATCCAAGAAAGAAGTTAGATGACCATTTATTTGGTTATATGGCACAGGGATATTTTTGTTCCCTCATAGGTCAAATTGAGAGTAATCAGGGAATCACAGAAAGCATGCTGTATTCTGGGTTGGGAAGTCCTTGTATCAATTCCCATTCTGTTTCTTACTAGTTGCATGAATCTGGTAAGGCACAACCTCTCTGAGCCTCAGTTTCCTCTTCTGTAAAATGGCCATAATAATACTGCTCGTAACTATCTCACAAGGTTGTATGATTCACAGAGGAGATAATGGATGCAAAGTACCTTGCAAACTTTATACTGCTAGATGCCAGTTCTTATTATTATGGTCTCTGGGATCCTTCAAACTGAATGAATCTGTGATTCAAGTTGATTCTAAAGATATACTAGTACGGAAACTAAATACTATTAGGAAGTCACCTCGATGACTGGACCAATCCAGAGATTGCCTAGAAATTGCCTAGAAAACTTTCTCAACCTTTTTTGAAATAAAGTCAAAACCAAGAGGATGGGGTTAATTTTCCATATTGACAACTAATATTCATACCTACATATAGCATACATATAAAACTTTATTCTTCCTTGACAAAATATCATCTAGACCCCGAGCTGGGAGAAGACATTTGTGTGTGCCAGAAAAGGTTTGAAAACTCATTCCCTAGGGATTACCATCCATCAGACTGAGAGCATTCACTGGTAAAACATGCAGCTTGATTTATCACAAAATAAATATCTACAAACTAGAGGGGACAGAGTTATCTAGCATTAAAAATGCAGGTAGTATAAAAATTGTAAGAATTGTAACTCATTACACCATTCTCTCAACGTTCTGCCCTAGACAAACGTTACCTTATCCATTCTGTCTCTAGTTTTGGATAGATCCACATTGGGTTTGGCTCTGTATTTGTCTATGCTTTTTATATGGAATAGTAATGAATATACAATCCAAAAAATAGTTTTACATTCTGTGAAATCTTCTTGATAGTACTCTACATTGACATTTACCCTATTATTAGTATAGTTTAAAATAACAGTGAGTAGTTTTTAATTATTAGACAAATTCATCAAAAATAGACAAACAGTAACAACCTTACATATCCATGATTGTGTATAATAAAATCTCATCTTACACTTCCAGCCCAAAATTCTCCAGCTTCATTTTCCTTCACTAGTTTTGAATAAACATAGATCTGCTGCCCCTTTTTAATGTTAATGAACCTACAGTCAGGGGCATTATAATCATCTTGAGCTTTAGCAAGGGAAATCGTATCTGGGGGAAAAAAAGACATGGATACATTTATTGCATAAATTACATTATAAGAAATACAAAGTAGCGTTAAAAATACTGTTGAACTTAAGTTGACAAATATCATATATAGGTCAAAATTTGCATTACACATCCTACTTAAATCACAAATAACTAAAAGGGAAAAAAAAACTTCACTTGGCAGAAAACTTAGCAAAATATATTCCCTAGAAGAGAGAAACTATTGAAAAGATCAGAAAAAAAATGCTAATCAAGCATACATTGGACATTTTTCATTAGAAAATACAATTAGATTTTATGCAAATATATCCACATTCAATTATACAGTGCAATAATTTGAAAGGCACAAAATAATCCTTACAGACACACTCTTCATCAGCACAGAGCTTCTTGGTAGCAAGTTTGTCCATAAAAATTCCATGCACAACACAAGTAGTTAGAAGACTCAAAAGAAAGAGAAAAAATATTCCCTTCATGATCCTTTCCATTGTCATTGCTAGTACCTCTCACCATCAAATACAGACCAGCTTCAATAGCTCCTTTCTTTTATGCAAAATCCCAACATTTGGATAAATAATCTCAACCAATGGGATGGGAGGCTAACATTCCACTACTTCCTCAGCTTACACTACACTCTGTGGACTTATTTACAAAGTATAATCTCCTCTACCCTTTCTTTACATAGATATGGGTTTTGGGTTTTTGTTTTTGTTTTTAAGTTTTAAATGGCCACGGAAAGTATTAAATGTTTGAATTTTTTAAAACATGCATTAAAGTAGCAATTTTGCTCTAAATTCTTTACAGCTCAGGTATGAAGACCCGCTACTCACATCTGAAATGAATTTATTGGAAATATACATCTGGATTTGTTTTTCTTAAAATAAAATTAGAGGACAGTTATGTATCACACAAAAATATTTAGCCTTATTATTGGCTCATTTATATCGTGCTTTAAAGTCATCAGAGCAGCTAGGGGGTGCAGTAGATCTAAAGCACTGGCCTTGGAATCAGGAAGACTCATCTTCATGAGTTCAAATCTGGCCTCAGATACTTCCTAGCTGTATGACCCTGGGTAAGTCACTTAAGCACTATTTGCCTCGGTTCCTCATCTATAAAATGAGCTACAGAAGCAAATGGCAAACCACTCCAGTAACTTTGCCAAGAAAACTCCCAAATGGGGTCATAAAGAGTTGGGCACGACTGAAATGACTGAACAAATTAAGGTCATCAAGTCAAACCAATAAGCATTTATTAATCACCTATTATAAGCCAGGCACTGTACTAGCACTGAAGACACAATGAAAGGCCAAAAGAAAAAAAATAGTCATTGCTGTCAAGGAGCTCACAGTCTAATGGGTGAGACAAAATGTAAACAACTATGTACAAAGATATATACAGGATAAATTGGAAATAATCTCAGAGAAATAAGTAAAATTGTATTTCAAACTCGATGTCCTGGAGACCTCTCCAACTCAAAATGTTCAAAACTGAACTCATCATCTTTGCCCTCAAACCATCCCTTCTTCCAAACTTCCCTGTTTTTGTCACTACCATTCTTCACCAGGTTGATAACCTCAGCATTATCCCCACATCAGCTGTCCAATCTTGTCATTTCTACCTTCACATCTCCCACATCTATCACTTATCTTTGCTGACACAGCTCAGGCCCTTGTCATCTCCTTTCTAGATTATTTCAATGGTCCCCCAATTGGTGTCTCTGCCTCAAGTCTCCCTACACGATGCTGCCAAAATAATTTCCTTAAGTTCAAATCCAACCATGTGACTCCTCCACTTAGTCCTCCCCAGTCTCTTTCTTCCTGTTGTCATTAGAATCAAATACAAGCCCCTATATTAAGCTTTTGATTCCCTACAAGGCCTGACCTGTCTTTTCAGACTCATTGGATGTTACTTCCCTTTCCACACTGTAATCCAAACAAACAGGACTTTTCTTACTGTTCTTCCCACAGGACACTCCATAACCCCATTTCCATACCTTTGATCTTCCATGCATCCCAACCTTGCACCTCCCTCAAAATCCCTCTCTTCCTTCAAAAGGTAGCTCAAAAATCACTTTCTACACTATACCTTCCCTCATTCCTCCCAACTACTAGTTCCTTTCCTCCCAAAATACCTTGTATGTAGCTACTTTAATTTTTTTATATTTACTCATTTTATATTTATGCTGTATATGTCAATCAATTAAGTATCTACTGTGTATGTACTTCTCTCTCCTGTTAGAATGTAAGTAGGAATTTATTGTCTGTTCTTGTACTCTGGGCACTTAGCACAAAGCTTGGCATAAATACAGTAGGTGCTTAATACTTGATGATTGATGTTTTTTACCAATTTTACAAAAGCAGAAATTGAGGTCCAGAGAAGCTGACTTATCCATGGCCATAAAAGTGCAAGAGCCTTCAAACTCAGATCTTTTTACTCTAAAGTCTGTGCTCTTTCCACCATACTATGATGTGACAAATGCCCGGCTAAGACAAGGGTTTCCAGGTGACCAATTATAACACACACAAGTCAAGGAACCTAACCTGATATATCCCTATACCCCAATCTCTGGCCTTACCCTTATGTCTGGAGGCATTTGAAAAGCCAACTTGAAATAGCCTAGGCCACAAGGAGGGGGTTGGGGACCTGGAGCTGGCTAGCATTCCAAATACCCATGCTATAGGGAAGGAACATGGCTAGAGGCATGACCCTCTCCCCTTTATCTACTTCATGCTTTTCCTGGTAGCCTGGATTTCCCATTGTTGTCCTCCTTCCATCCCTGGTGACAAAGTTTCAAATGAAGGGTGTGAATACACACACACACACACATACACACACACACACACACACACACACGCGCGCGCACGTGCACACGCGCACGTGCACATTCTGCAGGCCCCTATCTAGGGCATTTTAAATATTTATATTTTCAAACCTTTCCCTAGTCAGAGGAGTTGTATAAAGCAGTAGGGTAGTATGATATTTCACAACTCTTTAAGCTACAAGTAGTAGTAAAAGCACAAATCAAACTTTAATGTATCTGGATAAATAACACCTATTAATAGCTAACATTTGTATAGTAATTACTGTGTACCAGGCTGAGGGCTTTACAATTATTATCTTATTTGATTTTCACAACAACCCTATTTAACAGAGAAGAAAACTGAGGCAAACAGAGATTGAGTGACTTGCCTGGGATTATACAGCTAATAAGTATCTCAGCACAGATTTGAATTCAAGTCTTCAACTCTAGGCCGAGAGCTGTATCCACTCCACCACTTTGGTGCCCCACAACTCAATGTACATTTACATTTTATGCATTCCATTTCACACAGTAATATATCAGAAGTCATTACCCATACTTTGTGAAGGAAAAATGTTTACTTCCATCAACTGGTTGTCCTCAAAGATCTAAATCATCCTGAAACCTTAGTCAACAAGCATTTTCTAAGTGCTTACTATTTAAGCAAGACAGTCCTTGCCCTCAAGGGTTATATAATCTAATAGGGGAGGGAGAAATGGTGTCAGTGTTCAGAGTCAGGAGAGTAATAAAGAATGGCTGCCCAGGGGTCTTCCTCAAAATGGAGATTCCAGAGGAGCTCATAAACGGAAGAAGGCTGTAGGGGCAGAGGAATGTTCCAGGGTGAGAAGGCAACTCAGGCATGGTAATTTTAGCAAGTCAGAAGCAGAGCCAGGAAAGGTATGAAAGTACGAATTGTCCTACTCAGCCTAACATTTACAGGCAAGTTCGTAAGAGGGCAAATATAAGATTGTTGTTTCGAGAGGCACTTTTAGAAATGATGACAGTATGTAGGTCACAAGTGGGCAGTGGAATTACTAAGAAAAATTATATCTAAGGCTATTTTAATTAACAAAAAATGTTTTTTAAGTTTGAAGGCCAATAGTAAAAGAAAAATATGCTAATGATTTTGTTGTAGGTGTGGTTACCCACATACCTCTGCTCCCCCAGCAACCCAAGAAAAGAGCAGAACCCAGAGTTTGGGTATCAGTAGACTAGGCAGAGATCCTTTTGTAAAGTTTTGCTCTACTTATTATATTGGTTTGGGTTATAAAGAAGACTAGAAAGTCTGGTACCCCCTACCCATAGATATGGAAGTAAATCTGACAAATGAGATATGTCTCTGCCAGACACAGAGGCCTGAAGAAACATCTTTATTATAGTGCCTGCATTGTAGATTGCCTTTCTCACTCCTTCCTCTGAAGCTTCCAGATTCCCTGTCATAGCCTCCAAGTGTAAGCACAGCAACTTTCTCCCACATTCCTGGAATCAATTTCTATGCCTGATGCTGTCTGCCACAGTCTCTAGGACCAAATTCAACAAAAAATTGTGTCTGCGACCTTGGTGTTCTTCCCATTTGATGTGCTTTGGTAGAATGTGGGCAAGGAGCCTGGCTATAATCTATTAGTTCCCAGAGTAAACAGCTTAAAAAACCTGAAAGCTAAGATTTTAAAAATGGAAAAATAGTGAGACTTACAGAAACTTCCAATTTCACGCCTCCTTGCCCTTAAACTCCAGTCATTAACCTTACTCCTGGAAAAAATCTTATGACCAAAACATGGCAATGACCTAATTTTCTAAGGACTTCATAGGAGGTGGTTTGGCTGAATGTGTATCCAAGCCTTTTCCTCTAGCCTAGTCACTTCCTACCCAGGGAAATGAACTTCTCCCAGAAGTCAGCTGTAGACTATTAGGACTCACATGGGAATTGGCAATCCCTCTGTGACTCACAAAACACTAGTGGCAAAGCAAAGGTTCCCATTTGAATAGTATTGTCCTCTAAATTTAGAGGAAAAAAATCCTCATTATAGGAAAGAAAATTATCAAAAGAAGTACAAAAATAAATATTTAATATTATATGAAGACATAGCTTGGTGAAGCAGTGCATAGAGTGGAGGGCCTCTGGTCAGGAAGACCTGAACTCAATTCTAGCCTCAGATACATTCAGGCTGTGTGACCCTGAGCAAGTCACTTAACCTGTTTCCTCATCTGTAAAATGAGAATTACAACAGTCCCTACCTCCTAGCATTTTTTGGAGGGGCTAAATGAGACACTTATGAATTGCTCTGCAAACCTGACAGTGAGCTCAGTCTAATGGGAGAGACAACATACAAATAACTATGTACAAATGAGATAGAGAGAATAAACTGAAGGTAGTCTCAGAGGGAAGGCACCAAAATTAAGGACTGGGAAAGGCCTCTTGCAGATGATGGGACTTCAGCTGAAATTTAAATAGGAAGCTAGGGAAGCTAAGAGGTGAAAACCTCTTAGGAAGAGGGGGACCAACCAACAAACAGCCTATGGCAATAGTCTAGGAGTGAGATGATGACAGCCTGGACCAGGCTGGTGGCAATGTCAGAGGAAAGAAAGGGCAGCTAGGTGGCACTGTGGATAGAGCACTGGTCCTAGAATCAGGAGGACCTGAGTTCAAATCTGGCCTCAGACACATAACACTCACTAGCTGTGTGACTCTGGGCAAGTCACTTAACCCCAATTGCCTCAGGAAAAAAAGAAAAGAAAAGGAAAAAAAGGGGTCATAGATGAGAGGGGTTAAGAAGGTAAAAATTACCAGGATTTGGCAATAGATTGAATGTGGGATGTTCAAGTGAAGAATCCAAGATGATAGCTAGGTTTTAAGCCTGTGTGACTAAGAAAATGGAAGTAACCTTAAGAGTAATAGGGAAATTAAGAAGGGAGGGTTGGGGTGGAGCAAAGATATTCAGTTCAGTTTTGGGCATGTTGAGTTTAGGATGTCTATGTAACATTCAGCTAGAGATGTCTATAAGACGGTTGGAGATGCAAAACTAGGGGCCAGGAGAGCTGTTAGAGCTAGACAAGTAGATCTGAGAGTCATCTGCACAGAGAAGATAATTAAATCCATGGGAGCCAAGATCTCCAAATGAAATAATACAGAAGTACAACATTCCCCAGGAAAGAGCCTTGGGGGACTCCCATGGTTAGTGGGTGTGATCTGGATGAAGATTCAACAGACAGGCAGGAGGAAAGA